ACTGTGCTAAAGACACAAAATAAACTTAATGTTGAAGCAAATAGGGAATTTCCACTTTTAGCATCCTAAGTCCTCAATAGCCACCATCAACAATATAAGCTGAAGTATTCAAAAGTACTCTGCACTCCTGTCTTGATAAAAATAAATCATAAAACTAAATTGAGAAGACTTCAAATATTCCTTTTTAAGTGTTTATTAAAGAAGTGAATTTTCATTGTAAATTATTTTGCAAACAAATCAAAATTAATTTCCTTAACTTTTGATTAAAATATTTTTATGAATCAGTGAGAACTATAACATCAATTTTAAAAAATCAATATCAATGCCTCCTTTCCTGCCCACAAATCTTATCACTCACTCCCATGTTCATAGACTTCCAAAGAAAACAACCTGATTAAAGTCTTAATATAAAACATCCATTTTGTTACATCTTTAAGTGGTGATTCATTGGGGAAAAGTTAATTAGAATATTCTCAGTAATATCTCTCATCTCTGCACTTAATCACCCCAGTCTTTTTCAGACAAAAAGCCACAGAAAAGCAGTCATAAAATCACATAATCACAACATCTTCTTCCCAGCAAAGATATTCTCTCTTCATATATGCTTCTACCACTCACAGAGGATGAAGAGGGTACATCTTCATTTTTATGTGCAATCTCCCTCTACCCAATCATGCTAAAGAAACTCTCACTTTGAAGCTAAATTCCCTATGTATAACTGAATCACTTTGCTGTACATCTGAAACTAACATGACCTTGTAAATTCTTTTTTTTTAATTACTCAAAACAAATCATGTCGGGCTTCCCTGGTGGCGCAGTGGTTGACAATCTGCCTGCCAATGCTAGGGGACACGGGTTCGAGCCCTGGTCTGGGAAGATCCCACATGCCACGGAGCAACTGGGCCCGTGAGCCACAACTACTGAGCCTGCGTGTCTGGAGCCTGTGCTCCGCAAGAAGAGAGGCCGCAACAGTGAGAGGCCCGCGCACCGCGATGAAGAGCGGCCCCCGCTCGCCGCAACTAGGGAAAGCCCTCGCACAGACACGAAGACCCAACACGGCCAAAAATAAATAAATAAATAAATAAAATTTTTTTAAAAAATCATGTCTATTTTAAAAGAATCAGAACTTACACAAACAAAAACATAAAAAACACTAATATATTCTTCCCCAAGAATAACATCTTTCTCCAGATTTTTTTTTTTGTCCACACCACTCAGCTTGTGGGATTAGTTCCCCAACCAGGTGTTGAACCTGGGCTCCAGCAGTGAAAGCACTGAGTCCTAACCACTGGACAGCCAAGGAATTCCCTCTCCAGATTTTTTTTAAATTACTGATTTACAGGTAAATTGTTCATAGATTCACAAGGCTTACTCTGGATAGAGTAGACAGGAAAAGTCTAACAGAAGTGAAATTTAAGCTGAGCCAAAAGTGAGGAACTAGCCAGGGTGAAGCTCTGAGGGAAAAGCACTCTAGGCCAAGGAAACAGCATGGGCAAAGGCATCAGACAGGACTTGGTTAAAGAATGGAAAAAATATACATGGCTGGAGCAGGGAGCCCAAAGGGGAGAATGGTGAGAGCTATAAAATGATAGATTTCTTGATTAGTATTTGAAGCTGGTTACAAATCTATCTAAAATCAGCCCTCCTTCAGATTGTTTTTATAGACTCAAAACCATCAGGCTAACTCCACACAACAAATTCAAATAAGCAATTAAAAAGACAGAAGGGGGCTTCCCTGGTGGCGCAGTGGTTGAGAGTCCGCCTGCCGATGCAGGGGACACGGGTTCGTACCCTGGTCCGGGAAGATCCCACAGGCCGCGGAGTGGCTGGGCCCGTGAGCCATGGCCGCTGAGCCTGCACATCCGGAGCCTGTGCTCCGCAACAGGAGAGGCCACAACAGTGAGAGGCCCGCGTACCACCAAGAAAAAAAAAAAAAAAGACAGAAGGTATTCAAATTAAGTAGTGCCATTATAATAAAGATTAACTTCCCGATTCCTTGTTGAGAATTCCTGCAAGCAAGAGATTAAAGCACTTCACACCTCGTAAAACGTCCTCATTATTTACATATCCTCCTAACTTTCCACAAAGGTGCTCAGAATTTACTTAACTCTCTCTGGTGATGGTCAATTTCCATACTTTCAAATATTCTTGCTGTAAATACCCTGAGGCATTTTTGCTGTAATACCAGACTTTACGGAAATAGTCTTTGTATTAAAGGCCACAAACACTCAAAGAAAATTAAACAAGGAATCATTTCTGCATATTGGCCTAAGAGAGACTGAATTTCTGAGTACTTGGGTAAAACTTGATTTATGATCCTACATGAAAACTGATAACAAGATGGTTTTACATTTGTGGTCTGGAAGTTGGCTCATTTAGCATTACATCAATGTTCTGTACTCTCAGATCATGGCCCTTTGCCCAAAGGTTTCATTATAGAAAATTTATAGACATATTTGAAAAAGCATAAATTACAAAGAAAGTCATTGCATAATCTATTTTTTAAAAGTCATTTACTTAAGAAATTAATATACAATCCAGAGTCTAGCAGCTTAGTTTTATTTTCTGATTCTGCAACCTGTGGCAGATGGTTTTCTGGGCATGTGCGACCCTGGCATTTTGCCTGTGTTTACATGGACTGACAGGAGTTTAAGGCTGAAAGGAGTAATTTCTTTTATCTGTAGTAACAGGTTATGCTGGGCCTGTTCCTCACCTGTGTGTATATTCGGTTAATTCCACAGACTTTCCATTTACATCCACACAATGGCAAGGACCTGTCTAAACGTGAAGACATGGCAAGTCATCTCAGGAGTAGTAGTACATAAACTCCGTTCCATAAACAGTTCTGTAAACAGCTAACAAACCAGTGGAAATTTTGATTCCATCCTTAGATTTTCTTTTTCAACCCTTCCTTCCCTATATACTTGGAAATACTCTTGAAATAAAGTCAATTTTGTTTGGCAAATTCAATAGCATTCCTTTGAGACAAATGGATCACAAAATCAGAACTAAAAATCATCATACAGTCAAGCTTAAGAAAAAAAAAAAAAACCCAGGGACTTCCCTGGTGGCACTGTGGTTAAGAATCCACCTGCCAATGCAGGGGACAGGGTTCTGATCCCTGGTCCAGGAAGATCCCACATGCCATGGAACAAAAAAGCTCGTGTGCCACAACTACTAAGCCTGTGCTCTAGAGCCCGCAAGCCACAACTACTGAGCCCGTGCACCACAACTACTGAAGCCTGCACACCTAGAGCCCTGCTCTGCAGAGAGAAGCCACCGCAATGATAAGCCCGCGCACCGCAACAAAGACTAGCCCCCACTCGCTGCAACTAGAGAAAGGCCGTGCACGCAGCAACAAAGACCCAATGCAGCCCTAAATAAATAAATAAATAAATTTATTTTTAAAAAGAAAGAAAAAAAAGAACTATTTGACCTGGTACAAAGGTATAAGTGACAAAAAGTTTAAATGGTGGTACTACTTAGTCTTAGGAAATGAGCTTCACATCCTTAAAACTTTGCAAGTATTGGGGCTTCCCTGGTGGCGTGGTGGTTAAGAATCCGCCTGCCAATGCAGGGGACACGGGTTCGAGTCCTGGTCGGGGAAGATCCCACATGCCGCAGAGCAACTAAGCCTGTGTGCCACAACTAGTGAGCCCGCGCACCACAACTAGTGAGCCTGCACTCTAGAGCCCGCAAGCCACAACTACTGAGCCTGCGTACCACAACTACTGAAGCCCGCGCACCTAGAGCCCGTGCCCCGCAACGAAAGAAGCCACCGCAATGAGAGCCCCGCGCACAACAAAGAGTAGCCCCCACTCACCACAACTAGGGAAAGCCCTCGTGAAGCAACCAACACCCAACACAGCCAAAAATAAATAAATAAATTTATTTATTTTAAAAAAGAAAAACACTTTTCAAGTATTTTTGAAATACAACATGTCGTTCCTTCAATAATTAGTTATTTAGCTTCCTTCAGTCACCAGATATTTAACCAGGTTTGCTAGATGCTCAAGAAACAAAGATGAGTAGGACACTTCACCTGTATTAGATAAGTTCCACAGAAATAACGCCTACACATCCTGAAAGCTAAAATCCTCTACTGTCTTCAAGAAGTCAAAGACCTATCACTTGCACTCCAGAGCTGCAAAAGGTTCACTCAAGGTTAGGGCACCGAGGTCACACTGCTGAGGCACTAAAGTTAAAAGCTGGCCAAGAGCACCTGTAAACCGTAGTCTTTGAAAAGGCTTTTGCCAACAGTCACCCACACCTCCTCAACCTGCCCCTCACCCCGTTCCCGTCCTCTTTATAAATAAACAAAGGGTTTTTAAAGGGAACTGTCCAAGGTTACCACCTGACAAGGAAGAAAGCTTTGATGTGGGATGCCAATAAAATAAAATTGCATACTCTCCATATTTACAGAGTATTGTTATACAACATCTAACTGTTGACAAAGTGTCAACCAAGGCACTTAAAACATAAAATAAAACCTCTTTCTCAATAGGGTTAAAACGTCAACAAGAAAACTGGCCGAAAGAGGGAGATCTCTAACTTCCCAAAGCAGCAACCCCCAGGAAAGGTGCTGGAACCAGCGGAAGTTACATATCCAGGGCAGTAGTGTTTAAATGCGCCTGCCCCCCCCCAACTCCCGTGGTAAAAGTTTGAACCGCCATCTGACTATCCCACGGTGGTCGGAAACTTCCCTAAACTACAAGAGGCAAGCAGACACCCTAAAATCTCCGCTCTCAGCCAATCCCAGGTGCCCTCAGGCTGTGGCTTCCTCCCCGGGCCTTGTTTTCCCCATCACACTCTCTTCTCCTGGACACTCACTAGCCTGCCTGGGCGTCCAACGCCGGCCGGGGGTCCTGGGACCTCGCGGCCGCCGGGCTCGGTCCGGCTGGCCTCGGCCTCAGGCCTGCCTCCTGGAGGCCGGCGCTCCTCCCATCCTGAGACGGACCGCGACCCCCGCCCCCCGGCCCGCCCTCGGGCCCGGCCCTCACCTCCTCGGCGTGCTTGCGCAGCGCCTTCTCTCGCTCGTACTGGGTGATGAGCTGCTCGTTGTCGTCCCGCAGCAGCTCCAGCTCCACCTGGTGCTCCTGGTCCTGCGCGAACACCGAGTCCAGGTTCTCCAGCACGGCCACCACCAGTGGCATCAGCTCCTTGACCACCTCCTCGTCGTAGCGCCCGATGAGCCGCTCGAACTCGCGGTAGATGGAGCCGGCCAGGCCGGACACCCGCTCCGACATCACGGCCCCGGAGCCGCCGGGCTCCTCCTGGTACACCACACCGTCCTCCAGCTCCATGGTGGCGGGCGGCCGGCCCGGGGCGTCGCCGGCCGAGGGGACGACAAGGGACCGCACGGGACTGGCAGCTAGGGCTAGGGCTGCGGCTGGGCCCTGCTGGGTGGGGGCCCGGGACGGAGGAGGGGAGGGGTGAAGCGAGCGCACTCAGCCCTACCGCCGCTGCACCAACTGCCGGGACGGCTAAGCCGCGCGCGCCACACGTCACCCGCGGGGCGGGATCCGAGCCGCGTCGGCCCGTAGGGCGGGGCCCCGCAGGAGGCCAGGAGCGGCCGGGGGCGGGACCAATGCGTCACCCTTTGCCGGCGGAGGCGGCGTGGCGTCAACACTCGGCGCCGCGAGGTCGTTGCGTAAGCCAATAGGAAAGACTGCGAGAGGAGGGTGGTGAGAAGTGCCCGCCCAGGGCGCGATTTGTAGGGCGAATCCTAGTGGAAAGGAGGGGTTCTGGAAGAGTGACTAGCAGCCCAGAATAGCCAAAATTTTGTTACTTTTTACAGCTCACAAAGGGCTTTCACATTTGTTCCTCACCACAAGGATGTTTGGTGCGATAGACGTTTGGCCTTCGTTTCACAGACAAGGAAACTAGGCCCGGAGAAGTTTTGGTTCACTCAAGGTCACGCAGCGAGAACGGGAAGGAGGCTGATCAGGGACTCAAACCAATTCTGATTGAGAATTCCGTACTCAGAGAAGCGGAAAACAGATGGGAAGGGAAAGCAACCTTAACTGGGACAAGGTTTGCCGCAGTGATAAGGTGGTCTTGAATAGGATAGAATTATTTTGGGGTTAAAAACACTATGGATAGCCTTAAACAGAGGCCGTGCAAAGCATTCTGTAGAAGGGTAAAACGAACGCCACATCTTGTGCTTTGGCAAACACGGGTTCCTCTGCTTCCTCTGGCCAACTTGGGAGAGTGGCATTTCCTGGCTCCAGCCACCCTCCTTTCCTCTAATCTTGAAGCAGGGCAGGCTGATGGGGGGTTGGGGAGTAGAGGAGGAAAGAGGTGGAGTCACTGGGGTGAGTAAGTCCGATAGTACGTGAGGTCTCGGCCGCCTGGGAGAGAATCACGTGTGGGGAATGACAACACCCAAACCTCAGGCGGGCTGAGTCAAGGATCACTTCCTGGTGTTCTCTTCTAGCTGATACCGAGGGGGGCCCTCTGGGGCTCCTGGGCACCAAAGCTTTTCTGTGTACCCCATTTCTTTGATTACAGGAAACAGGCTTCATTTAGCCTCCAAGATCTTCCCTGAGTTCCAATGGGTAGTTTCAAGCAGCTGTTAGTTAGGGAAAGGAAGGGGATTCATCAACACAAGGGAGAAACAGTCAAGAGAAACAGTAGTGGAGCCTTGGGGCAAGGTCCTGGTTACCCATCAAGGGATACACACAACAATATCTTTGAGCTGTTTTGCAGATACTGAAAACCTCCTCCAGGTGCGAGAAGTTAACGATGGTATGTTACCCATAAGCATTTAGACCCCAAACCAGTTGGAACCTGAAGGTTGATGATGCTGATTCCTACTTACCTCACCACCAACCCATTAGAAGAATGTCCACAAGCTGATCACGCCCTCTCTGAAACATTACTGTAAAACTTCTCACTATCGGCTCCAAGTTAGGACACAGTTTTTCCAGGCGGGAGCCCGCTGTGTCCCCCTCTGCCTGGCAAAGTAATGAAACTATCCTTTTCTACTTCACCCAAAACTCTGTCTCTGAGATTTGATTCAGCCCCGATGTATAGAGAAGCTGTGCTTTTGGCATCATAGCCTCTGCAAATGGGGCAGAAGACACTCCCAAAAGCCCCTTATCTCCGCAGCAGGTGACTCAGGAGTACCGTGGCCTCAACTCCTCTAAGAATAGGGCCGAGGAAGGCAAGATTTGGATAAAGAAGGGTTCACTGGGGGGAATCAGCTACCTCCCAGGATCATAAATACCATGGAGACCCACAAAAGCATTATGGAGGTTGGGCAAGGGCCAAGGTATAAAAAGACAAAAATGAAAATACTAAGCCTTATGAGGTCAGACATGACTGAATTTGTGGCCTGTACTGTCCCCGTTTCTCACCCTCACCCTACAGTCACCTTTTATTGTTTGTGTATACGCCTGGATCTTAGTTTCGCCTATCAGCTGGTTAGCTATGTGCCCCAAATGCCCCTTCTTTTCTAAATCTCACATTTGAAAACCAGAGGAGTCTTACTCTGAATCTCTTTTCTTTTCTCTTCTCTTCTTTTTCCTCTTCCTGAGGGCACTTACTTGGGCAATCTACCTATGTATATGCCTCTATTTTCCTAGGAGTCTAGAGGAGCAGGAAGACTTAGGCCAAGGCTTTACTTTGTCTTTCCACAGTATTCTCATACACATCAGAAAATTTAGGGAAAAAATGTCTGTTGATTTTCAGGTCTGAGATTATAATAAAGTCTTCATAGTAAGTATGCTTCTTTAGGTATAAATTCAAGATAGAAATATACGAGATGCATATTTATCTTGATTTTAAGCTTCTGCTAACTCAGTGATCACATTTGTCTAAAAATTCTGCCAAGTATCCATCAACTCTTCAATAAAATATGGTGTATGCATATAAAGGAACATTTATTACGCAGCAATAAAAAGAAATGTAGTGCATACTACAACGTGGATGAACCTGGAACATATACTGAGTAAAAGAAGCCAGTCACACAGGACCACATATGAAAGATCAATCATTGCCTAGGGGTGGCTGGAGGAGCAAAGGGAAAATAAGAGTGAATGCTAACGGGCATGGGTTTCTTTTGGGGCTAATGAAAAGGTTCTAACATTGATTATGGTGATAGATAAACAACTCTGAATTTACTAAAAGTTATCGAATTGTACACTTTAAATAGTTGAATTATATGCTATGGGAATTGTATCTCAATGAAGCTGTTATAAACAAAATTTATGGCTATAATGACTTTTAGTAAACCCAACAGAACCACATAACTCAGTGTGATAGAGTGTAAAGGAAACAGGTTTTAAATTGGGAACCTTATACCCTTAGTATGGACTTGTCATTTTGAAGAACTTAGGCCAGAAACAAGAAAAGCTAATGGTTACTGAATACCTACTGGGTACCAGTCACTGTGATAAGGACTGTGAGCCTCAACTACTTCATCTGTATGATGAAGACGTGTGTTACAGAATCTGTAAAGACTTCTTGCCATTCTTAAATCCTATGATTCTGGCTTGTAGGTGGGAGTGAAAGACGGGAGAGAGGGCCTTGAGACTGAGTCCCTTTAGTCGACTCCTAACATTGTAGGCAGTAATACCACCTCCTATACTCAACCACCCGGATAAATTTCCAGCACCCACCTCTGACCCCACGGGCTGAGATTATTGTTAAAGACTAAGAGTCATTCAGGAAAACAGGCAGGTTATGTTGTAGATTTAGAGTAAATGTTTACGGGACTTCCCTGGTGGTCTATTGGTTAAAACTCTGTGCTTCCACTGCAGGGGGCATGGATTCAAACCCTGGTCAGGGAACTAAGATCCCATATGTGCTGTGCGGCGCTGCCCCCCTCCAAAAAAACAAAATAGAGTACATGTTTACTTTTGGTTCCTACAAGGAAGGAAATTCCATTTTAAGAGATTCTTTGGCCTTTGCACAAATAGTGAGGATGCTAATGGGAGCAGCAGAGGGGAGGAGCTGACGAGGGAAGGAAGGGAGGAGTTTCTTCCTAAGCTCAATTACTATAATCACTGGAAGAGCGAAATTGCTGGTCTTGTTGTTTGTCTAGACTTCTGGAACTTTTACAGTTGTTTCTATGTAACTCAATTTCTCTGGTTTCACAAACTACATTTTCCCACATGGGGAGAGTGGGTCGCTGGAAGAGGAAGAGAAAACAGGGCTACTAGTGCACAAAACCCTCCATCTATGGCAGTGTGAAATAAGTGATTTATTACCCCTTACAAATTAGAACATGCTCGGTGAGGCAGTCCAACTATGGAGTTCAGGGCTCTTGAAAAGTGCCAGAGGACTTTTCTGAGCCCTCGGTTTTTCCTCTGAAAGTCTTTTAAGGTGTCAGGATAAGATGGCTAAATCTGTCCAGGTTGAAGCTGCAAGAAGGCCTATTCCCTTGTAGCACCCTCCCCCACCCTCCAATCCCCCATCCAGAACATCGGACTACCAGAAATGCCTCTAAAATGAGGAGGCTGAACATTTGGCTGAAGCAAGAATCCCATTATAGAGTCTGTTTTAGATGGGACCAAGGTCTGTTGGTCATATTTGTGTTCAGGTCTATATTCTCGCCACCCCTTTCTGACCTGGGTTGGTGGAACAAGTGGAAAAGAAGGCCCATCACCCACCTCTCAGTATACTTTTTTAAAAATATATTTATTTATTTATTTTGGCAGCACTGGGTCTTAGTTGCGGCTCATGGGCTCCTTAGTTACAGCATGTGGGATCTTTAGTTGCAGCATGTGAACTCTTAGTTGCAACATTCCTGTGGGATCTAGTTCTCTGACCACAGATCAAAGCTGGGCCCCCTGCATTGGTAGCGTGGAGTCTTAGCCACTGGACCACCAGGGAAGTCCCTTGGTATACTTTTTATAGCTGAAGTTCACTCTGGGAATAAAAGACATATTTTCAAAACAGTGGGTTAGTTGGATTTTTTTCCCCCAATTATAGACAAAATGTATACTCACTATAGAAAATTGGCTAAGTATGGAAAAGCACAAAGAAATTTAAAACCACCCAGAAAATCCCATTTCCAAGATATCACATGGTTAATATTCAACAATCTGTAAGGTGATCCAGGAAATCATTGTCCTTGTGGGAGAAGAGTCAAGTGCAAGGGGACCCTCTTTGTCTGGAGCAAGTAAGCATCCAGTGAGACTCACCAGCAAGAAACCTGAATTTTGTTCACCCACCCCATCACCCCTGCCTTGAGTCTCCTAGGTAAACAGATGAGAAAGGTATACATGAAATTTTTAGGAAACATCAAACAAACCCAGACCCCATTTCCAAAAGAGTCTTTAAACGGATTTCACTGGGGATGACACTA